TCCCAGGTTCAAGCGATTCTCCTGCCTCAGCCTCCCAAGTAGCTGGGATCACAGGCATGCACCACCACACCCAGCTAATTTTGTATTTTTAGTAGAGACAGGGTTTCACCAAGTTGGCCGGGCTAATCTGATGTCAGGTGATCCACCCTCATCCCCTCCCAAAGTGCTGGGTTTACAGGCGAGAGCCACCACTGCACCCTGCTGTTGTTTTAGCGTTTTAAAAAATACAAAAGGGTATCAACAATGGGAATTTCCCTCCCTAAACAACCCTCCATTCACCCAGGTCCCTCCCACAGAAAGTAACCAAGAAAAGATATCAAGAAAGAGGAACCGCCTCTTATTATTCATTTCTTATGAGCTTACAGGCTTCTGGAGCTCACCTTAAAGACCCGGCGTGGGTGGACCAAAAAGACCCCCTTGAAATCAGGAAGACTGAGACAGGCCCATGTGGCTTGTCAGTAATCATCAAGCAAATTGGCAAAGCCATACCCAGAATAAAGTCACAGAGGAGCTGCTTTTTGTGTGTAGGGATAAATGGTATACGTCGTGCAAATTCCACCTATCAGCTCAACCTAGTAGGTGGTCATATCTCTGGGGAAAAACACAGGAGAACCTAATACCTATAAAGAATGTGCTCTGTATCCAGTGCAGAGCTAGAATCTTTTTTTCATTATTGTGGTGAAATATACGTAACAAAAGTTTACCGTGTTAACCATGTTTACACATATAGTTGAGTGGCATGAAGTCCATTCACACTGTTGTGCGGCCACCACCACTGCCCATCTCCAGACAATGCTAGGCTCTCCCTGCCCTCCTCACTTACTCCTTACAACAGTCCTTTGAGGCCTGCATGACCAGTCTCCATACAATGAGGAGGTCCCAGAGAGATGGCTTCACATCTCTATCAAGTAACTGGTAGGTCCTGGGCTTGAACCCAGGCATATTCATCTCCAAAACAGGTGCCCCATACTGTGGAGCCTCACTGGAAGAATTTTTGGAGGGAAGATTCATCTGCAGCAGTGCATAGGCCTCTGCATAAGACAGTCATCCCCGAGAGACTGTGGCTGTGCTGTGAGTAGGCGTGCCTAGGTCTCCATCTTACTTTCTTATGTTTTAATTTTCTCTTTTATCCTGTGCTGTGGCCCAGGGGTGATCCTGTTACTTCTGGATAAGCTGCGGAAGATGAAATGGGAGCAGATGTGGAGGCTGACCGCAGAGAGGGAGCTCATGGGCATGCTGTCTACATCCTTAGCTGACCAGGTGAGTGGCCAGGTCCGAAGGTGCAGCTCTTCCTGAGTGCACTGGTGCTGTTTCTCAAGGAAACTTAAAAGTCAATCGGTCTGAATGGTTTTCTATGTGTTGTGTGACCCTGTATGCTCTGATACAGCTGCCTTATTCTTTCCAGTCTAAGACAGCAGCTCAACTCTTTAGTGCCTTCCCTTGTTCATTCATTTGTTGGTTCAGCAGACTCGCACTGAGTACTGTGTATACCAGGAGCCAAGTTCAGAAAAAGGATGACAGAGATAGACGAAGGATGCAACACTTGCCCTCATAGAGCTTAGAGTCTACTGATGCAGACGTATAAGGAGATGTTGATGCCCTCTTCATCGCCAGGTGGAGTGCATAGGGCCTGCTCTCTGGGACCCCAGAATGCCACAGCATATTTCTCAGGCAAGATTTCACTTGCCTTGCTGGCAGATAGAATCTAACTGTTTTTTTGAGATGAAGTCTTGCTGTGTCGCCCAGGCTGGAGAGCAGTGGCACGATCTCGGCTCACAGCAAGCTCCGTGTCCCAGGTTCATGCCATTCTCCTGCCTCAGCCTCCCGAGTAGCTGGGACTACAGGCAACTGCCACCACGCCCGGCTATTTTTTTTTTTTTTTTTTTTTGTATTTTTAGTAGAGACGGGGTTTCACCGTGTTAGCCATGATGGTCTCGATCTCCTGACCTCGTGATCTGCCCGCCTCGGCCTCCCAAAGTGCTGGGATTACAGGCGTGAGCCACCGTGCTCAGCCCCAAGTCTAACCTTTAATCTAAGCCTTTTACTTAGATGCTGCACTAGTGTCCCTTTATTCAAGGGAAATGCACTTAAATAGAAAGGATAAACTGCCAGGAAACCACCTTGCTATGTAGGCAGCCTCAGAAACTCCACCAAACTGTTAGCAAATATTCATTTTTATTTATTTTTATTATTTTATTTTACTTTTGAGATGGAGTCTCGCTTTGTCACCCAGGCTGGGATGCAGTGGTGCAACCTCGGCTCACAGCAACCTCCACCTCGTGGGTTCAAGCAATTCTCCTGCCTCAGCCTCCCAAGTAGCTGGGATTACAGGCGTGCAGCACCACACCAGGCTAATTTTTATACTTTTAGTAGAGACAGGGTTTCTCCACGTTGGCCAGGCTGGTTTCGAACTCCTGACCTCAGATGATCCACCCGCCTCGGCCTCCCAAAGTGCTGGGATTACAGGCATGAGTCTCTGCACCCAGCCAACAAATACTCATTTGGTAAAAACCCATTCCTCATGTTGACGTCCTAGGAAAGTCAGAGGGCTCCAGTCTTTGACTTTGAGTCTACCAGAATCACTTTTTTAAATTTTCATCTTCCTGTGGCACTGATAGCTGTCTTCAAGCACGAAGATGATTTCTCTGAGTTTTCTGCATTTCACCCTTTCTTTTTCATCCAAAGAGCCAGCTCACTCTGCATGTTTTTGTTCCAAGTGCAATTTCCTGGTTCGTCGAATGCCTGCAAAGTTTCATAATACGGAGGAAACAAGAAACCCTGCATGATTACTTTACTATTTTTTAAAGCATTATTATTCAGTATTTCCCAAGCAGCTAGAAACTGATTTCCTTTTTCGAACATGAGATAGAGTATAATGAATGAGTTTAAGAAAAAAATAATACCCAGGTAGCTGTTTTAAACCTGAGGGGGAAATCGTCCACCAGCCTCATATTTCAAGTCGGGTCACCGTGACTTGAGCGTGTCCCCCAAAGCTAGCAATTGTGTGCCCGTGTCCAGTGAGGATAGTTTATTCAGCCATCTTCTGCCACGAAGGCCCATAATTCACCTCCCGGCGCCACCTGTCAGCAGCTAGTTAATAAGTACGGCCTGGTGCAAGAGCTTGGAAAAGAGCCCAGAAAAGGTAAAACCTCCCTAGACAAGTCAGAGTTGGATTTTGAAACGGAGAATGCATATCCTGGGCACCATGGCCTGCAGAAATCCAAGGAGCATCCATCACTGAGTCCACCGCAGGCCCCAGGAAGCACTGCTGAGAGGGAGAATCTGTAATTTGTCTCAGTCCCTGAATGAGTGGGGCTACTTGTCATCATGCAGTTTCCTCTCCAGGAGGCTCAGGATGGATAACACAGGGCTCCTGCCTAGGAGGCCAGAGGGGAAGGAGACTTCATTTTTCATATGCCAGCAAGGGTAGGGAAGACACCACATGTCTGCACGTGTGAGCTCACTGGATAGGGCTTTATGAGACCAGCAGGACTCTGGAGCTTCCAGTCAGCCTGGGGCATTCCCCAGTCTCTATCCAAACATTATTGCTTGGTTCCTAGAGATAACAGGCAAGAGAGATGCCCCACAGTGCGAGCCAGCCTGTGTTCAGAGCAGGCGGTTCAAGAGAAGCCCTATCACAGGGGATGCAGTGCCTTGAGAGCCAGAATGGGCAGCTGGACCATCCGATTGTCTTGACTGTGTCTTTGGCTTTCATCCCTCAGGATATTTTCAATGCCGTCATCAAACAAAACCCCTTCCTTGTGTACCAGCTCCCCTGCTTCTGGAATGTGCAGCTGTCGGACCACACCCGCTCCGAGCAGTGTTACAGAGACGTGTCTGATCTAAAGGTAGGGTCAACACAGGCACATCCCCGGAGGTAGGGTGAGGTGGGCTGAGGGGACCTCTCAGGGGCATGGATGGCTAGGAGATTTATGTGCGATGTGGTGAGAGAGATAAGGGCACAGGAGACCAGAACGAGTATGCTTTTCATCTTTGTGGGGTGTTGGGTTTTTTCCACCCTTATTTGGGCTTTCTGGAAAGCCTAAAGCCTCCTGGCATAAGAACCAGCTTGTGTGGTTATTATTCTTACCATCTGCTGCTGGCTCTTTTGGTTCATGTCAGCTCCCCACATCTATTCATTCAACTCAAGCAAAAACATTTATTGAGGGCCTGCTCTGCCAGGTGCTGTAGATGTGGATGTGAATAACTAACCTGCTTCCAACTCATGTATGGCTTGGAGGAGGACAGAAATGTGCAAAGAAGTAGGTATTTAAAAAAGGACAAGTGCTGTGACAGGTGTGGGTGTGTGAGTGGGGGAGATGCAAGCATAAATGTCTCATTCTTCCTCACAGAGGGGGGACAATGACAGAAAAAGCCTTCATCACCACTCTGTAGGTACCAAACACTGTGGATGGACCTGGCTATAGAAAGAGGAAGAAGACAGGGTGTATTAGTCATCTACTGCTATAGATAATGCTGCATAACAAGCTTTCTGATATTGGCCTAAATCAGCAACCATTTATATAGTTGATGAGTTTATAGGCTGGTTGGATGGTTCATTTTTTTACTACTTTAACAGAGTATCTGTGGTCTGCTTCAGATGGGACAGCTGGTGACTGGGGCAACTTGGCTGTCCTCTAGTGTGTCCTCTGTCCCTTCAGCAGGCCAGTGTGGTGTCTTCTCATGATGAAGCAGAGGTGGCAGAGGAAGCCTTAATACACAGGAGGCAACTCTGAGTCATGGTTGCTAACATCCCTCATTGGCCAAAGTAACCATATGGCTGATCCCGTATGATTACTTTTGAGTAAGGAGTGTGAGTTAAGGAGTGTGTCAGAATTCCCTCCCTACAGTGGAAAGAGTAAAGAATTGACCACAACTATTCACAGAACTATTCACACAGAACAAAGATTTCAACACAGGCCTGTCTGACAGCAAGGGCATTTGCCTCTCAGGTTGTATCACGGAGGATTTAGATACATGCATCCTTAAAGAGTTTGTTTCATATGAAGTTTATATCCATTGCAAGTTCTAAAAAGGAAAAAGGATTGCAAAGCTGGCTTTTCTAATAAATTAGTCTTTTCTACTTGGCTTCTGTATTATGTCTTATTTATAGTCATAATGCATGTTAAATGTGGTTTTCTGCTTTTCATTTGTTTCATATCATAAGCGTTTTCTGGGTGAGCCACATGGTGTTAATGAACATTATATCCAATAGTTAATAGACTATTACCTAGCCACTCCCTTGACCTTAGTTGTTTTCAAATTTTCATAAATATAACTTATATCTTAATTAACAGGTTTGTCCATGAAGCTCTTCCCTCCAATATTGTTGTAGCTCGCCTTTCCAGGCGAGAGGCAGGAGGCTGTGATAGAAATCAAGCTCTTTAAATTCTCTTTAATAACAAGATTTGATGAACTACTGGGTTGGTGAACACTATTGTTGCTGGAGGGTGATGTGCCCAGAGAGGGCATGGAAGCTCCATACCCCCGCTCAGCCCACACCCCCATATTTTGCCCTATGTACCTTTTCTCTTTGACTGTTCCCAGGTTCCATCATTGATAATAAACTGGTAAATGTAAGTGTTTTCCAGAGTTTTAGGAGCCATTCTAGTAAATTATGGAACCCAAGGAGGGGATCATAGGAATCCTTGATTTACAGCAAATCTGTCAGAGGACAGAAGGCCGGGACTTGCAGCTGGCATCTCAAGTGGGCCACCTCATGGGACTAAGCCACTAACCCATAGCATCTGATGCTTTTGTCAAGGAGGTAGTGTCACTGTTGTATTAAAGTATGGGGACCCAGCTAGTGTTGGAGAACTGGTCATTGTAGGAAAATAACCCCACAATATCTGGCATCAGAAGTCTTCTATGTGAGAGTATAGAAAAACTGGTTTTTCTCAATAGGTAGCTGTATGATTTATAGTGCAAACAAGGGAATGCTATCATGGGTTACAGAGGGACAATAGGCCAACAGGCAAAACATAGAATTATTCTGTTGACATACTATACATAGGACCTTAAGCCCACAGGAAGAAAGACCTCACATAAAGGCCTCACATAAAATCAGGATCCACAAAGAGTATTATCCTCGGTGGATAAACAGTTAATAAAACTCAGAGTGTAGAAGAAGACAGTAGAGGTTGTTGTCTGTTTCATCCTTGGTTTTAGGTAGAATAAGGGGGAAATGTTTCCTTTGAGATTTTATTTTAAGCCTATGCCTATATTATTTCGGGGGCTGAAATTACATGTGTGGGAGCAAAAATGGAAAGAAAAAAGTAAAAGATTTGCCAGGTACCTGGCAGAAACTAACATAAATCTGATCTAGAAGAATATTCTTAAAAACAAGTCTTCAAAATTTTTTAGGGGAAGTTACAAGGAAAGCAAGGTTCTCAGTTAGGAATCACAAAACACATAAGGAAGTAGGCTACCCTGAGAAAGTGCAAAAACTGAAGACTGGAGTTAAATCTGAAAGACTGCAAATATTGGACTTATCAGATATAAAACATAAGTATTTTTACTTACACGTAGGAATAAAAAATGAATACTGAAAGTAGGATGAAGGAATAGTAGATTCTCAAAAAAATGAATAGCCCTTTTGGATTAAATAGTATTTTTAGAAGTGAAAGATATAATTATTGAAATTAAATGGATATGTCAAGCAATAGCTTAAACACAGTTGAAGAGAGAATTAGTGAACTGGAAGAGGTATAAGAAATTACCCAAAATTCAACACAGAATGAAAAAGAGATAGAAAACTGAGAAAGAAGCAAAGAAATTGGGATATGTCTCATTGGACTATCAGAAGGAGATAATAGAGAAAATTGGAAGTGAGGCATATCTTAAGCATGCCAAGAAACAATAACAGGTTGTATACCTATAAGAATAATCTTTCAAGCATAAGATAACAAAGAGAATTTTCTGCAAACACGCAAAGAAACTTCTAAAGTATTGTCAGCCTTAATAACGAAGAGATTCTCTCTAAAAGAAAATTATATTTATTCTGGAATAGTGCATTGCAATGGGAATATACATGCCATAGCAAACTATGTGCATACCCAGGGAGGTAAAGGAAGGGAAAGGTTTTTAAAGGAAAAATGAAGAGGCTTTTATAATTGGAGATAATTATCTTTGGCCAAAGGATCAGTAACAAAGTTGACACCAGTCCAAGACTGGAGAGGCAGTTGCTGGGCAGACATGCCTGCCAAAGTTTTTATTTTGTGTGTGTAAAGTTACAATGGCATTTGTGCAAGATTGTGGTTTTCACGGAGTCTTTTGTGATCATTCTCGTTACCAGACACTTATGTATGAAAAGCCTATCTCCATGGCCTTCCTGGTTCTGTTTGTCAGGGTTTTGTTAACACAAATGACTCCATTTTTATTTTGGCAACATTCACATTTCACCCTTTTGATCAAGATGTTTCTCCAAAAGTGTCACTGATCAATCATCCTTTAGTTAGGTTTTCATGTCTTTCAATGCCAGGATGGACCTCTCCCAGGTTTCTGGTCTTGTTTCATATTGGAGAGAATGAATGGCAGCTAGGAGTCAATGTCAAAACCTTTTTAACCACATTTGAGCTTAAGTTTAAGCTTGAGGAGGTTTAAGCGCGGTGCTCCCTGGCTGTCTACTTGGAGTCTGTAATTAAGTTCAATTTTGTCTGTTCCATAGGCCTATGTTACCATCTCAAAGTGCTGGGTTAGCATTATACTGTTAGGATTTGTACTTCTATAAAAAACTTGAACAAGTAACAGATACAAAATTAAAGAAGAAAATGCAAAGTAAAATTAATAGTGATGTGACAAGAACAATTTGCATAGGGACTTTGAGCAATAAACCTAGGCTTTAAAGACAACCAATTAAATAAACAAAATGACCATTAACCTACCAAGTGAAAAAGGTGGGTATTATTGTATCATTATGACATAGAGTCTTGTTCTGACATCTTGCAAAAAGCTATCTACAGCATGGAAACAATCAACTCTCATCCTGGTTTGCAGTTTGAATGTCTCTGGTAATGGCATCGGGCAGTTTAGTGAACTTTGTGTGGCCCAGACATCAGGCATGAGACTTATTTCTTAAAATTCATCTAGTTTCAGCTTATAGGGCTTCCAAAACACAGAAATTGCCATTTTTGGTAACTGCATGGAAGAAAGTAGGATTGTAGAAATCTAGAAGAGTTCTATAGGCAAATAACAAATAGCAAATTGCTCTATAGGCAAATAACTTGAAAACAGTGCACACAGCTATCATCTAATAACAGTTGTATTCTAGCTTTTCTTTAGCAACATAACTCATGTCTGCATTTTTTTCTTTAAATCATAGCCATATGGTAAATTTTCTATTTTGTTGTGGTTCTCTTTTATTGATGGGCATGCAGTGAGTGTTTCTTGGAAATGATCAATTTTTATTAAAATATTTCTGGAAGAAAGAAAAGAAATATAACGTTTTCTTCCTACAGTGATATTGACTTTTCCAAAAATAGAGTAAGACAAATTTGTTTCTAAAATAAATTTAGTTTTTATCAAATATTGCCTGCAAGAATAGTGATTTGACCACAGAGTAATCTCAGATCTAAAAACCTTTTGAAGCTAAGCTGGTGGCAAGTGCCTGTAGTTCTAGCTACTGGGGAGGTTGAGGTGGGAGAATTGCTTCACCCCAGAAGTTTGACATTACAGTGAGCTGTGATTGTGCCACTGTACTCCAGCATGGGTGACAAAGAGAAACCATGTCTCAAAAAAAAATAATAATAAACATAAATAAAAACTTCTTGAGGTTAATAAGATAACCCAAGACAGACTTTAGGTTATATTTACAGTCCTAAGATTCCTGGACCTGCCAGGAATTGATAAT